AATTATAAAATTTTATAAAGTGTACCCGCTCGTATCTGAAATAGTTCAATCTCTTCTATGCAATTTCAGAAATCAAGTCTGAAGTTCTTTTATCTTTCAAATGCAACTTCAGAAATTCTAATATGAAGTAGTTCAATCTTTTCAATGCTAACTTCTGAAATCAAATATGAAGTTCTTTTATCGTTTAAATGCAACTTCAAAAATTTGAATCTTAAGTAATTCAATCTATTGAATGCAACTTCGGATTTCGAATCTTAAGTTTTGAAACATAAATTTATTCTTCGAATTTTAATAATCCAATACACGATTCAATGTCCAAATCTACTCCAAATGAACTCAAAATTAAAACATAACTTTCAAATATCATAAAGAACGAATCTCGATCATCAAATAGTCAAAATAATAACAAATTTAACAAACTCATTTTGCAAAGAAGAAGAAGAAGAAGAAACTCTAAGCACAATGAAGAAGAAAAGAGCAGTAAAGAAGAAGAGAAAAGTATATGTATTTGAAGTTATCTAAAAATTAAGTATCAATTAAACTTTTTTTTAAAAGTGAATACAAATTCAATCTATGGGGTAAAAGTAAAAGTAAAATTGGGTGCCACATAAAATTTTTATAGCATTTTACATAACTGTCACAGTTTAAAAGATATATAACAAATTCTTAGCATGAAACTCAATATTACAGTTATGGTAGGAAAATATTTATATTTGTAGCACACAGTTCCATTAAAATAGGAATATTAATTATTAATTCCTAAACATAAGCAATTTGAATGAAAAGTCAATAATTCTTTGTACAAAATCATATTTTTTTCTCTTTATCTATTAGCTTTCCTTCTTCTTCTTCTTAATTTTGTTTTCTGCCGAAGCCAATATATTTTCTAAATTTATTCCATTCATTTTCTTTTTAATTATCTTTCTTAAATTTTTCTCTTCCTTCTTTCTTCCTTTCTTAACATAAAGATCTTACTTCGATAATAATATATGTTAATATATACAAAACGTATATATAAAAAATATACATTGAATTAACACATATAAAATATATAAAAAATATACCTTCAATTAAGATGACACTTAGACATGTGAAATATACATAAAAAGATATATCTTAAAATTAATTAATATGGCATATAAATATACATAAAAAAATACATCCTGAATTAAAAATGGCACTTGAAATATAAAATATATTTGAAATATACATTAAAAATATATTTTAAAATAAGATGACACTTTACAAATAAATATACAACAATAATATACATAAAAATATATTTTGAATTAAAATGATACTTGATATACAAAGTATAAAAGACGTATAAATCAATACATCTTGAATTTATGTGGCATTCACATATGCATCAGATTTTCAAAAATGGAGTGAAGAAGATGAATGTTGGAAAGGGAGAATGGAGATGGACAAAAGAAGTATTTTCGATAATTAATGAGTCAGTTAACTTATTAAATAATGAGCTTAATTTTTATAATATGCTAATAATAAAAAGAAATATTTTTTATGGAATAAATAATAAATGATACTATTTTTTTAAATAACAGTTAAAAAAGGATTATGCGTGTAAAAAAGCAAAATTTTACGAGTAAGTTTTACAGTCCAACAGCCTTATCTCATACCAAAACTAAGGTGAGCTCCCAATCACTTTTACATTTGTAGGTATAAATATGGCCCAGTAATCATTAGCCGACCCAGCTAATTCAGCTAAGTTGGCATGGGTTCACTTTAGAACCCATATTGGGCCCATACCTACCAAACATGCTCTCTTATTAGGGTGATTTTGATTTTTTGAGCTGTTTGCGCATAAACATTATTTCAAGTTTAATAAGTGTTAGTATTTCGCTTGTCCTATGGGTAATACTTTTATTGTTAAAAGTTTAACATTATAAAAAAAATCAAGATCATTCATTTTCAAATTCTTGGGGCGTAATTTCCTCAATTTATTTCATCTTTTGAATTTAGACGGGGCTGCTTTACGAGGGACCCAACCAAAAGGAGGAGGAAGGAGAAGGACCTTCGTGATAGAAATTTGTAGTGGCTAAATCGAATAAAAAAAGACTTTTTCATACTCGATATTTATATTAAACCATGATAATATATCATAAAATTGTAATAAGTAACATAAAATATATATTATTTAACTAGGTGATAAAAGTTTATCTAAGAAACGCAAGTCATGTATGTACTAAATATTGGACGGAAGTGATTTTTTTTCCATGAGAGAACGGTGAGGTAAATCACTATGCAGTGAAAAATACCTGCGTGTTAACATAATAGTTCTCATTTTTTTAAATATCAGCAAAATTATTTCTACTAAAATTTTAAATATATTTATCTCACTTTAATATAAAATTAGTTATAAGCTCCTAGGCAGAGGCGTACCCAGAATTTTTGGTAAGTGGTGTAAATTTGAAAAATTGAATGAATGAATAAATCAATTTAATGAAAAGTGTTGTCATATTTTATATTTATACCCAATTTTTTTATTTTGTATATACTATCTATATATAAATATTTAATAAAAATTTCGACGACACTTGCCGCGAGGTGNATATATATATATATATAAAATAAAATAAAATCTGAACCAGTGAAATTAAATTAATCAGACAAAACAATCCCTTTGTCATAGTAATAGCGTTTAGCTGTGAGAATATGGTCTGTTTTAGTTTTTATGTGCTTGAATTCCGTTTTGGGAAATTGTTAAAATTCTTACAGAAAAAAATTAATATAAAATATGTTGGAGCAAACAAAATCATTTATTCGTCACAAAACATATCTCTGAAAATTCGAAAAATAAACAAACTTATTTGTCATGCTACCTTTCAAAATTTAATCATATATATATATCTCATATATATTAATTTCTTATTAGGTATGTATGAAACATGCCATTTGGTACACTTCGATTATTGCGTAGCTTAAATGCATAGTTAGGGTTCCTTTGACTTGCATACTTGTGTGTTAAAACAATTGCACGATAAAATAGAACAAAGATTCTTACGTGCAAAAAATGGCATCATCCAAAGTTTGATTTCCATCACACTTTATTGTAAGTTCGAGTGAATTTGATTTAATTCAGCATTTATTTTCAACTAAAATTTATTGCCATGGCCGACTCTAACGTTATTTCACTGTCCTTAAAAGTTTGGCCAAAAGGTGGCCACTTAATTTAGGATGATAGGAAAGTGCAAGGCAAGTGGCAGCTCCTTTTTTGTTCCGTCAATAAAAAGTGAAGTGGAAGGGAGTAAAAAGGACTGAAATTGCATTTCTACAACATTAATAAATAGTAAAAATAAGCAAAACGGAAATAAACGAGTATCTTGTTTATTTCTCGTCTAGTCAAATCAAACAACTGGAAGCTTGTTTATATCACGAATCTCTGTCCTATAATATTATTATTATTATTATAAAAACATAATGTTGTACAGTTAGTAGAATTTTCTTTAGAAAAAAAGTTTTATAGGTGCAATCAAAAGTACTATAGTCAAAGGACACGGTCTTTCTAAGCTGTTTAGAATTTCAGGGAAAACGTTACTACACCTATAAGATACGCCAAGCAAACTATAAGTTAGAAAATTTTGACTCTTTTCATAAATGAATTGTACCCATTTAAATATTACAGTTTATTTGGTTATACAACTTAATGAAATTTAAATTTATACACATTGAGATTCTGAACTTAACATATTGTTTAAATGTTATTAATTTAACGTATAGTTCTTATTTTCTACCAAACACTATTATTTTGAATAATCTAAGAAATATGTGTGTTACTAATATATTGTTTATTTCCTACTTAAAACTTTGCAATACCAATATAGTAATTGGTTAAATGTTTTGTTTCTAGCACAAAAAAATACTCATATAATTTACGTGGGTATTTATCCATTATTATGTGAAATTAAAATATGTGTGATAGCTACTTGAATAAGAGCACATGAAATAATAAAAGTATCAATAAAAGAAGAATGCTATATTTTAGTAAATAAAAATAGAAGGCCTTCATATAAAAATAGAAATCATGAAGGTATTCTTAATTTTTGATATTTTTTTCTGCACCAAAATCATATAAGTAAATTGTCAATGAAATTAATTCCTTATGGTTCAGCTCATATCAAAACTTATCTTTTAGTCCACGAATTAAACTATCACTAAGTGAATCAATTATTCCTAATTGAAATAAACAGGACTAGTTACTGTCTATCTCTCTAGGAAGTTGAATAAGTACCTTGTTTTATTTTGACAGTAGGTGTAGTTTGTAAATACTTTTTTTATTGAAATTACATTTTAAGTACCGAAATATATGTATATAAGAAAGGAAATTTATATGAATCTACTTTTAGTGAACCGTATATAAATAATGTACCAGTAGCAAAAATCTCCAAAAAGAAAGAGTAAAAGGAAAAAGGAAAAAAATAAAAAGAAACTTAATGTAGGCATTAGGAGTATTGTATAAGGTGCATAAACTATTGTATCCAATACGAGAATGCAAACTAATCGTAGATGTGTAGGCAAACACGTGGCACCAATGCATCTGTACAATCTATTATGATTGACTTCTCCACAGGTAATAATAAAACTACTAAAGAAACAATCTCCGTCAATAAAAATAGATAAATACCTACCATAAAAAGATAAAGAAAAATAAAAGGAAAAATGAAAAAACACGTAATAGAAGTGGACCACCTGTCAAGTAATTAAAGGGTTACCCGTGAGGGAATCCGACAAGTTTGGCGTCAATAACCATATCCATCCCTTCTCTCTCTCTCTCTCTCTCTCCCTCCCTCCTGTGTTGTTGTTTCAGAAATTCAATTCCAATTCAATTCAAATTCTCAGTTATCTCACACTTTTTCTCTCTCTCTGTACTCTCACTCTTTTCATCTGCAGCAACTGTACTTACTAGATGCTTTGCGTCATATCCAAATACACTACAGGTCCCCCCCAAAATACATTCATGGTTCTGTGGTCCAATCCTTCTTTGTAATTTCCTGATATAACTTTTTACTTTTTTATGTCTGTTTCCACCAATAATCCACCCAGAACTGGTGGTGGCGCTGGACAAAGCGGCGGCGATGATGACGATGACGACGCCGGTGCCGGTGTTAGTGGTAGGTGTAAGGAGATGGATGATTCAGAAGAGGAAAATGATCAGAGTAAGAAGATAAAGGGGAAAAAGGTATCTTGTTTTCGGTTCAGGAAGGTTAAAGGGAAGTTTTTGTGGAGGAAACAGAAAGGGGTTTCTGTAAATTCGGACAGAAGAAGGGAATTATATGGAGGAGGAGGGTGTTATTTGTGCTTGAAGAAACCGCTGACTTCTGATTCAGGGGGTGAGTCACAGACGAGTGATCCTAATAGCCCCACGTTTACTTATGAGATGCTTAGAGTTTTTATTGAAAAGAATGATTTTTATTCCAAAGAATGCAACCCCCATTTGGATGTAGTAGAATCTAAGCCTTGCTCTATTCAAAATAATAAATGAAATGTGATATCAGAAATATTGGATGATAAACGTTACAATTTGATTCCCCTGTGCTGCGCATCGGTAAACATTGGGGTGATAGAACTTAGAGGCTTCAAAATGTTCATAATAATGATCATGGCCTAGTAGTTCTTGATATCATTTCTATCAGATTGAGAGGATAGCTAGTAGAAATTTGGAATTGCAATTCGAAGGAAAGCTACGTTTGTGGATAAATTTTTTTACTTTTAAGGCATTTCCCAATTTGGAAGAGAACTTTTTCAGGAAATGGGGCATACTAAATTTAAATTTGAAAAAGATTGAGGAGAAGCCAGAGAAACCGTCCTCCAATTGCTCTAAGGTGGATGGCAACTCGAGCACAAGGTATAGAACTTGATGGAATGAAACTATTCCTTATGCAAATGAATGACATTTTGGGGTAATCACCTTTTGTAGCAACCATAGCCTTGTAATGTTCTACTTCAATTGCATTCTTCATTCAATTTTTGGAGCCATAATTTGTATAGAGTACCGGCCACAGTTCACATTGTATATGAAGGTGGAAATATTGCTTATCAGTGAATTATGTGATTGAGTTTGATGTTATACTTTCCTTTGAGATACTCCACCAGTTCTATGTTCTGTTATGTCTTCTTTTGTTTGTCTCTACTTGATCAGATGCCAAGACTTAACTTGCTTAAACTTAAAAAAACACACTGATGGATTTAAATATTTATCATGGTGAAGCCAAATATTTGGCCTTACGGCACCCCAAGTGATTACATTACTTTGTGTTAGAGCTGTAACCTACCATGATGGCAAGTATATCTAAGTTTATAAATTTGACGATAAACATGGACTTTGCTATGCCATATAAGACAGATTTCTGAATAACTTGGTGTTGGGACCTTGACGTGAAAAGATCTATTTTTTCTGTAACACTTCATGGGACCATTACCTCCTCAAACAAGAGTTAGAATTGACAATTTCTCTGAGTAAATTACCTGATATGGATGCTGATCTTTTGCAGGAACCTGTCAAAATTCTTGTACATTCTTTCCTCTCTTTATTTTGGCATTAGAGAATATGTTTAAAGCATGATTGCTTACTGCACTGGCCTTTGCTTCTCTACCTTATTGGGGATACCGGGTTTAGTATGTTTAGAGCAACCACTGCATTGTGCTTATATTAAGAAAATTTGGCAACCCCATGCTCAGTGTTCTAAATTTGACAGATAACATAATTGATGATAACTTCAAATTTTGGACAAGGGCATGGGTAGAAGAGTATACCAGAAATAAGAATGCTTAGAAGGTAAAATAGCTTGCGGGTGGTACTTGGCTTGAAGGACATTACTTGCAACATATAATACTGATATCTCACTCAAATTTCCTTAATTTTGTTTTAATGCGATCTATATGATTTACCTTTTTAATCTCCACTTCATTGTCCATTGTGGCTAATGTAAGAGGTTTTTTACTTCCTTTCGTGTGTGTACGAGTAAATATCTTGGTATTGACTTGAAATTGCCATGTTTATCTTATTATTCCTCAAATTTGTCACTGGATAGTTCTGAAATACCTTTAGTTTCATCTTGTCGTTTGACAGAATATATGGTAAAGCCTGTTGCAGGAATTTGGGGAAACAACTGTAAAAGGGATCTTGATTGAGTCAATTTTTTCCCTCTATATAATTCATAATAGAGGTGTGTGCACTTCAGCTATCCATTCTTAGGACCCTTGTAATGAAGCCATTGTGACGGATCAAATCGTGGTTGAGTCATTTAAGAGACAGCCCAATCGGAGGTGTTTGAAGTTTGAGAAAAGACGTTCTTAGCAAGATGCAGTGTTTTTGAATCATTTCATCTTTTTCAAGAGAAGTATGCTTTCAGTCTCTCTCTTCTTCCCCATGTGTTGTGAAGTTGCACATTGTCTTTCATCTTATTATCCCAAGTTGCCTGGCAATGAATGTGAAAGCAGAAAGAATAAGATATTGATTTTGCAAGCATAAAGGTCTTTTGAATAGCACCTAGTTAGGTCTTTTGAGGCCTTATGTTCATTTTGCTTCTACTTAAGTTTAGATCAATTGTCTTCTGTAGTGCGTATCAGCCAGTTAAATTTCTGTTCCTATAGGGTGAAATGTGAATTTACTCACACGATTGATTCGCAATCTACTATTGTTCATCTGGTGTTATACTATGTTTAGCTTTCCTTTCCTGTTAACAATTTCCTTTGTGTTATAAGCGAATTCCTAATCCCCAGGTGCTGCCTGCGATCTGTAATCCAGTCATCCATTTTATTGGACATGAATTACAACGTATGTTTATATGGCCTTAAAGCATAAGAAGTACAAAGCTATATCATAATGCAATAAAATCACGCCTTCAAGTTTTGGGAATTGCCTACAAAAATCACCTTTGTTTCTTTTAGGACAATAAAATCACTCAATTATCACTATTTTCCTCAAAATATGCTAAACACCTCAAGAGCCTCTTTCTCTCCTAGTTGTCATCACATCTTTTTTTATAATGAACTTATTTAACTCATTGAATACATTTAACCAAGCTCATGTCTTATGTTCGATCAAACATGAACCGGTTAAAAGCGGCAAAAGGAATGAACTAGCATGTAATCTGAATGAATTTGAATTAAAAGATGAAATTTTTAAATCTATAGGTAAAGTTTTAATATGACAAGTTGGCATATCTATATCTTAACATGAAATAGACTAGGTAAAGTTTTCACATATTCAAAGGTCGAATTATTTCTTAAAACGTATTTCATTAGTAATTAAAAAAAAATATAGTTTGAGGTGAAAATATTTCACATTTTAAAAACCACACAAAAATCTGGGTGGTTTTCATTTAATGCGAACGATAAATAACGTTGGATGAAATTTATTAATTTCTATATGATACTATTTGATGTTCTGAATAATTTTTCATTAAAAACATACAGTAATCCATAATTTAATAATTTAAAATTTTATGTAACGACTCATTTTATTTGATCTTAATTTATAACCGTGGAAGATATAAAAGGGCTTTTGACAAAGTTAGCCGCTCGGCAAAAACTATAAACAACCGTCTAGCCCACTATTGCACATTTCAACTTGTAGCCAAAAATAAATAAAATATATTAACCAGCATATATGTGTCGCCCCGCCCTCCCTAGTTGCCAAAGTCCAAAATTTTCTTGCATTCTTTCCTCTTCTTCCAATTTATCTCGTTCAGTATAGCTCTACCAATCTTCGCTTATTGGAAACAAATCATTCACTAGAAAGAAAAAAAAATTGTAGTAAAAATCAACTATACAACTTATTTTCAGGCCAAAACTTTCTTTATTCTGCCACTTCCATTCTTATTTATAAAAAAATAATCATCTTGCCTTACCAAATTCACCTTATTCAATTTATATATTTTCCCACAGATTCTATAATCTTCACAACTCAATTCTTCTGTTTAATTCACATTGTTTCTCCTTCTTCGCAATAACAATCAGAATGGATTGTGACACTGTATAATCAGTGTATACTGACAAAATATATTGTATAATAAGTGTATACTTAATGTAAACTCACTGAACATATACTTGTTATACATTGTACATTAAGTATTCATAAATGATACACTTTTTATACAATACTCATACATGATATGTTCTATCTCTGCCTTCAGCACCATTGCATATAAAGTGTAGACTAATTATTTAAGAAATGTATACATAGTGTATAACAGCGCATATACACTTTTTATATACTATTTACAGTTATTATACATTGTACTAGTATTAGCACCCGCGCGGATGCGCGGATACTAACCATGTTAAATATTTGAGTTATTTGGATTATATGTAAATAATCTTAAAATTTAAACCTTCTCGATAAAATATAGATAATCATTAGATATTAATTAAGAAATACTAGATGAAATTAATAATTTCTCATATCTCCTAGTTATAATTCTATTTTTCTTTTTTGGTAACATTCTCGTCGGTGTCGTTGGATCCTAAAAATAGTCAGGAAGCAAAATAATAACTCATATATATGGCAAAACAATCAAAAGTTAAGACTATGAAGGACTCTTTGGATACGACTTGGCTCAATTAAATACTACTAGAACTCTTATTTGGTGTGTTGATATCTATTAAAAAATATTTCTATTTTAAAATCTCAGTTTCTAAAACTTTATTTTTCAATAATAATTATTTTTTTATCCTTAATTCAAAACTCATTTTAGTCGGCTATCTACAAATATAAAAAATTCTTTAGCCAGTGAATTATTTTTTCAATATGACTCCATTTTGATATTTGACATTAACCATGTTAAATATATGAGTTATTTGAATTATATGTAAATAACCTTAAAATTTAAACCTTCTAGATAATTATAGATAATCGTTAGATATTAATTAAGAAACACTACATGAAGAAAGACTAACAAGAACAACAACAACAACCCAGTAAAATCTCACTAATGGGGTCTGGAGAAGGTAGTGTGTACGCAGACCTTACCCATACCCCGAAGGAGTAGAGAGGCTGTTTCTGAAAGACCCTCGGCTCAAAAAAAGACAAAAAGACAAAAGGATAAAAAGGGAGACAATATTAGTATCACAACAACACTCATAGGATAAATAGGAACACCATGAAATCCAGAAGAAAGATGCAAAGCAAAGGGAGACAATATTAGTAAATATTAGTATCGCCACAACAATCATAAGAAAAATAGGAACACCGTGAAATCTAGAGGAAAGATGCAAAGCAAAAGCGATAGCTAGTAAATAGGACATGCACTAAAAAGTGAAATAGTAAGCCACAACATTGTCACTAGCTATCTTAGACAAAAATCCTGAATGGCTAGTCCCACAATGGTACGAAGTAAGGCACGACTCAACTACCTTCTAACCTACAACCCTAATACTCTACCTCCACATCTTCCTATCAAGTGTCATGTCCTCAGAAATCTGGAGCCTCGCCATATCCTGCCTGATCACCTCTCCCCAATACTTCTTAGGCCGCCCTCTACCTGTTCTCGTGCCCTCCGCAACCAGCTTCTCACACCT